CAGAGAGAACAGGGGTCTGGGGCTAAGTAAAGCGGGTGCACTAGGTTATGCGTCATTTACCGCAGCTCAATAACAACCCTTTCTCTCCGCCCGACACAACCTGGTCACGCAAAATGACACTCGCTGTCCCTCTGAGAAAACACACACACATCATATCTCCTTTCACCCTACGGTGGCCTTAACCAGGACACATCACATACCCACTCTACTATCTGCGTTGGTGACAGATGTATTATGTAATGGTTTTGAAAGGTATTGATTCACACGGGACGGGCCAGTTAAGAAACAGTAGAAAAATGAGATTTCAAAATCAACATGGCCTGAGGGGGTGGGGGGTTGTGGGGGATAGGGCGGTGAGGAGAGGGGTCAGCAGTGATGGAAAAACATTGGAAGAAGGAGGGATAGCACAGGTACAATTCACAAAAGAGGAACGGGGCAGTACTTGAAACATGCATGAACTAAGTGTGTGGTGTGTGTGTGTGTGTGTGTATGTGTGGTGTGTGTGGTGTGTGTGTGTGTGTGTGTGTGTGTTGTTGTGTGATGGTGTTGTGTGTGGTGTGTGTGTGTGTGTGTGTGTGGTGTGTGTGTGGGTGTGTGTGACCTTGGCGTGGCCTGGTGGTAAAGTGGGGCGTCAGGAGAGTCAGTGTGAGAGCAGCCAAGCGTTCTCCCTCAGATTAGCAGGCTTTATTACTGCCACCAACTGCTGGCCTGACAAATCCTTCTTATTTCATTTTACCTTCCTTTACCTCTGCCTTGCTCTTTCTCTGTTCCTCACTCTTGTATTCCCCTAAAAGCTCCCTCCCCCTCTTTTCCCTCCCCACTCTGCCGTAGCTTGCATGCTCTACCTTACACCCCCCCCCCCCAGTTTTTCCTCACATTGTACAGCCCTATTATCTATTTCCTCCGTTGTTTTCTCCTCATTGTCTTTCCCTCTCCCATACTGCTCTGCCCATACCTATACAGCTATTTTTCTGCCTTCCTCGACTCCACCTCTTGCTCCCCTCCTCTCCCTATCTCCCCCCCACCTCTCCCTCCCTCTCTATAGTTGTGATGAATCTGTAGACAGGGGCTAATAATTGTACTTCAGCCCAAGTGCTCATTTTCTTTGTGTTTGAAAGCCGTGACAGGCAGGAGCTCTTTTTTCTCTTCCTCCCCCGTCCCTCCTCTTTCTCCCTCTCCCTCTCTCTCTCTTTTCTTTCTATCCTCACACAATGGGTGAGTAAAATAACTCAGGGTTTACAAGGTCATGCTGTCTAGCGGTGAGGACACGCTGGGGATTTGGGGCTGGAAGGATTTCCTCAAAGGTGCCGTGTTGAGACTTCAATAAAAACAGAGAAAGTTATAGATTCCACGAGCAGATCTTCGGGGGGAAATAAGTGCATTTGATAGTGAACACGCTCACTGAATCTATCTGGATCCAAATGTTATTAATGCTGCTTCAAAGAATCTGTATAAAAGAGCAAGACAAACATTTACTTTGTTGCATTTGCCAACAACTCCAGCGTCTTCGTGTTACAAAACGTTCATCATTTGCAAAGAGTGAGCTACTTAAAATGCAGTACTTCCTGGCATATAAAACATCCACAACTTAAAGTGCATTTCTGAGCATCGGTTGTTTTTCTACTTTAGTGGTTAGTTACATCTCAGAAAGACGGGGCAGCCCCCTTGCACTGTTTACCTGAAAAGCCTCACTCACACACATTCACACACTTAACAAACAAGGAGGCTGCAGGGGTTTTGTCCTCCTAAAAGTCCATTCAAATAACATGTTTAAACATTTGCAACACAACTTTTACTTAATTATTTTGAAAAAAAAAGTTTTTAAATGTATTAATAAAGGATGTCAAATCCAACCAGTAGCTCTTGGCTGTATGCTGTCCCCTCTGTTCCCCTCTTTCCATCGATGTACTCTATACTTAAAACTTTGAATACAAATTACACACATGTAAACAAAAGAAAGAAAATTGTAATATGAAAACCAGGTATCATACAATAGTATTTTGTTCAGGCGTTTTTTTAAAGCAATGCAGAGAAGTACAGGCCATTCCAGATGTGTGTGTCCCTGAAATGGATGCAAACTTGAGCTCTACGAGTCAGACACTAAGGGGGGTTTGAGATGTGATAGTGTGTGTTTCATAAAAATAAACGTGTTCATTATTATGTGTTATAAGTATGTATTGAAGTGCATAGGAATGATCCCTTCACCTGAAATTATTTTGTAAATTCATGAAAATACACATTGTATAAAGACTCATTTCATAAACTTTAAGAATCTGAAGCCTGTTGAATAAATAAGAAAAGGTCAACTATATTATAAAGGGAAAGAAGCCCCCCCAAAATGTTATAAAATGAACTACTGAAGATTTGTTTTCTTTAAATATTATACATAAATGATCTACTGAGGCTGCGTCCTAAAATGCAGTGTGCAGATGCTGCCAAGACATAATGTGTTTGTTGACTCAGCAGTATTACTTTATGAAAATGGATCAAGAGTTGTAATCACAATATCATCCTCAAAAGGGAGAGGTGGAAAGAGAGTAGGGGGAGGGGGGAGACCGGAGAGCAAGACTTTATTGCCTGCTGTAGTTAGATGGTAAATTTCCTCCTGGCAGATATTTATTGAGTTAGTTGAGTCTAGAGAGAGCTTTAACATTGATTGTGATCATTAAATATATCCGCTCCAAATGGCAACATGGCATTCCATCAGTCAATGGAGCCAATAGGAGTAGAACAAAGGCATCATCAAATCAATCCTCTCATAATTATTCCTTGAGAGGTGAAATTAATCACAAGAAATAAAAACAATAATGGAAAATGAACTGGTTCAGTCGTAACAATTACGCCCAAATTGAAATAAACTCAGTGAAGGGGAAAAAAATCAACTGTAAATCCAACTAATTAAAATAACATTCTAATGTACATTGGTTATTTGGTTTGCACAGGCTTGCAGTTGTTATATTGCCTTGTTGTGTTATTATAAGAGAGATGAAGTGATGGAGAAATGAAGAGAGACAGGAATTAAAAGTGTTGTGTGTTTGCAGGTGTGTGTGTGTGTGTTGTGTCCTACACTTGTGAGAGCCGTGCTCCTCTCTCCCCCCCGCTCGCTGAGAGGAAGTGTAGCTTATTGATTAGCTATCAGATGATTCCGATAGGGGCCTGATCGATAGGACTTTGTATGAAAGCCAGGCAGGACCCTCCCTCTCCACTCAGGCACCACACCCATGGATCGGCCTCTGCAGTGCACAGACGTCTGTTGTTTGTTTGTTCTCCTGAAGATCCTCCTTTGTGTCTCCGGTCCGCCCCCACCAATCGAAGGCTCCTCAAACGCCTGTTTCCCATAGCTCCACTTTTATATAGTTGTCATTGATAAGCTAGACATGCAGGGATAGCTGAGCACGAGGCCTTCATCAGTGTCAGTTATTGTATTCCTCTGTTGAGTCTTCCTCTTTTAGAAGGGAGGGAGGTGAGGGAGAGGAAGAAGTCTCAGGTGTGGAATTACTCTCTTTAGGATCCTCACTGAAGCAGGTTGTGAAACTGCAATAAAATAACCATCTTAACAAGTTATTCAGTCTAGAAATCCTTTGAATACAATTATTTCAAAAGCATTGAAGTGTGTCATGTTACAGTAGTCAGATCCATCTTGAGAGATAAGGCAGGAGTTGTCTTTACTATATCCAGTGGTGGCTCAGCCCAACAGGAGTGTTTTTTGGAAATGACAAAACACAGCAGGGCCACTGACTAAATAGGGTCTCTGGGGTTCTAACAACAAGCAGAGGGGAAACTAAACAGCTGACACGCTAAACACAAACTAACCGGGAAAGATGTTTTGCAGTCACACACTAGTCTCACTCTCGAAGAGGTGTGTGTGTCATGGTGAAAATATGTTATATAATTCATTATAAAAGAAAAAAATAGCTAATTCTCATGTGTGCGCAAAATTATTTAAAATTGTGCAGAGATTGACGTCACAGCGGACTAGCACCATGGACAGCGGTTCATGAGACTCCCTTTGTTTTGTTTTATTACGTATTTATTTCAACAAGGACCATGCATACAAATACATTCATCTCAGAAAAGAGAAGAGATGAATTATACCAGATGTGTAGCTCATTTTCATCCAGCTTTGTTCCGACCTTGAATAGTTAGAACAATCTGCTTGGTTTCCCACTCTTCCTTGCAGGGTACATAAAAGACTGAGTGCTCTTGCAGTGTGTGATTGTGTGTGTGTGTGTGTGTGTGTGTGGTGATGTGTGTGTGGTGTGTGTGTTGTGTGTGTGTGTGTGTGTGTGTGTGTGGTGTGTGTGTGTGTGTGTGTGTGTGTAGTGTGTGTGTGTGTGTGTGTGTTGTGTTGTGTGTGTGTGTGTGGTGTGTGTGTGTGTGTGTGTGTGTGTGTGTGTGTGTGTGTGTCCTGTGCTGTGAAAGGACAGTGATAAGACAGCTGTACTCTGGGTGCAGGACAGATTATGACAGGGCAGGACACTGGTATCAGTTTCTCTGCCGGCCATGGCTGTGTCAAGGCTCAGCATGTGTCTGGCTATATGTGTGAGTGTGTGTTCTGTGAGTGTGTCTGCATCGGAGGGACAGGAAAAGTAAAAAGGCAGTTCCGCTGGTTTGACTGCGTGTCTATGTGTGGACCAAAAAGAAGAACAGAGTTGTTCTGAATGTGTTATTTATGATTGACTGTTTGATCTTTCTTTTGCACATAACTCCTGTCATAAAGCATTTGAGCAAAGCTTGGAGAAATTTTTTTATTTCATTAAATGTGTCACTAAACTCTGTGTAATGTTTTGGCTTTTTTAATACACAATTAATACTTTCCTCAGAAACAGTCCCTCTTAGTCATACTCCAGCATTGCTCTCTCTCAGCTACACAAATATCTCCCCCTAATGGCCTCCAGATGAATGCATCTCCACGTTTTTTCTTAAATAATTTCACACACATCTTACTGTTAAACAGATTTTTATTAATTGTTTTTTTCCCTTTTTGTTTTTTCTTACAGATATCATGACACTGGAATGCTGATGTTTCAAGAGCAACCTCAACACCCAGACTGCCATAAAGCACAATGTCTCAAAAGCAACCCAACAGCGGCTTCAAGGCGACCAATCCACAGCAAACCCCGAAGCCAGATTCAATATTAAAACAATGATGATAAATAATGACAGGAGATGGAAATCCCTCACATTCATCTGCTCAAACAACAGGGGAAGAAACACAGAAATTCAAGGTCCTGGAGATTTTCCTCATACTCAAGCGGACATGGATCATCCCGCAAATACCTCCAAATTATCATTTAGATTTACCAGAGTATAGATTAAATAAAATAACAAACGATTATGCCCACACCCCTTTAGCACATGCCCAGAATTAAGATATTGTAAATATTGTACAGAAAGTGAATAGGGACATTGATAAGAAATACAAGTATTGCAGAATAATGTATATAGCCATAAGAATCATACCTCTAGTGTGTTTATATATTCATGAGTGTCACATGCCCATTACTCCTTTTTTCTTCTATGCCCAAAAAGATTTAGCACAATGATGAACCAACGATCTCTGTATTTCAATAGGAAACATCTTCGTGGAACTAGAGACTGAATTGAATTGGGAAGACACAATATTGGGCATTCAGTGCACTACTGCAGCAAACTGATGCATATGCCATGGAGTGTATGCTTATTAGGTAACCCTGTATTCTTAGCAAGACAGGTCAGTAGCTTTTATGAACTTTTAAAAAGACAATTTATAAATGAAAAATAATCAAGAAAGTTATAAAAAGCTAGAGACAAACACAACTATAACACATCCCTGAATTGTGTCCTAAATCTACTCCACCCCCCCATCGTCCCATTGTAAACTATCACAGCAGAGCTGAACACAACTTTCATTATTCAGTAGATTGTATATGAGACCCCCCTTCTGTACTGTATATGTAATGTGTTTTAGCCCCCGTAGTGACGTGACATATCCAGATGGACTTCTGTGCTGTGGCAGCTCTCTTGTATTGTGCAGTCAGAATACAAGTTACCTTTTATTCAGTTCATACCTAGCTGGACCTGACCGTAACCCACCACCCTTCCTCTTTGAGATGATTTGGCTAGTCCTCCACCTCCTCTTCTCCTCCCCCCTCCCCTATGTCCATCAGAGGGCCTGTATGCCTGCTGACCCGTCTGCCACCAGGCGCTCGCTCAGCTCCCACAGGCTGGCGGCGCTGCTCTGGTCCTCGGCCTGGCTGGACGGCAGGCAGCGGAAGCAGTTGTTGAAGTACATGCCGCCCAAGCCCTCCAGCTCCGGAGCACGGCACAATACACCGTGGTGGCCGCCCCTTGTTGCTACGGAGAAACACACAGAAGAGATTGGAGGTCAGCGGGCAACTCACGAGACAACGAGACGGCCTCAGCCTGCGGGAGGAGACAAAATAAAGAGAACACATTCACTGACTCACACATTAGGACATGTCCTGTCCAGAGAAGAAGAGAAAGGAACGAACAACGGACACCAACTACAATGTTTTGTCCTCTGTGAGACATACATGATAGACAAGAGACAGCAAGACCGAGTGTCAACAGGAAAGAAAAAAAAGGACTGCACACGCTGTCTCTCGCTCTGCAGCCCATGATGACTGGGTCATATTACCATGGGGAGCAGCATAACCCCTTACTGTACATATATTTATATACATATATTTATTTATTTATTTCTCTATCCGGTGTGTACAGGACTTCTGGCTATATGGGACCATGAGAATGCTACAGATGTAAAGACGGGACAATCTGAGGACATGAAAATTACACCAGCTTCTGTCTGTGGGAATCAGCAGGAAACAACAGCTTTTATGGACCCTGTAAAAGTGTTAATGCTATGCTTATGAACATGTATATTTTCAGATGATGTGTATATGGGTGCAGCCAGGCTTTCAAAGTTGAGAATATGTATTGGAAATGATGCAAGTACGTGTTTAAATCAGACGTTGGTTGTTATAGATTTGTTCACAAACAGACGAACACGCCACAAGGCTTTTCCTCAAGCCCTCTCAGTAAGTCTTCTCATTTTTAGTTTACATTTAAAGATCACTCAAGTCTAAAGCCGAGACAAACTGAACAAGTAAAACATTATTTGGACACAACCTGCTAAGTTCTCTAATGCACCACGTCCCATCAGTCAGTAATTAGTAGGGATATTCTTGGAGGACGGAGATTTCTGTGACATTTGAAAATGAATGTTAAAACTGCAGCAGAATAAACACGTCGGAGAGAATTACACACACAACCCAACTGCTCAAAGAGGGACCTTTCATGTTGCAGCTCGGGCTAAAAGCTGCTGTGACAGCTTCCCTGCAAACTCCGGGGCTGGAGACAACTTCTATACGGCCACATGAAATGGCTCGCCTCTTTATCTCCCAATGAGAGGCAGAGAGAGTGAGAAGGGGGGGGGGCAGAGAGAGTGAGAGGGAACGCTGATGTGGAGGCTGAGGACTAATGTTTAGCACAGAGCACTGGCACGCTGTGAGACAACCCCTTGTACGTAGCAGTCAAACATGGGCAAGACACACACACATACACACATGCATAATGGAGTCACATTACATGCCAACTGTTTGAACAGCTTCCTAAAGCAGCTGTGAGACAAACACATATGAAGTGGAAAGATCCATTGAGGTCTAAAGCATTTATACTTTCACATGTACAAGTACAAACGTATGCATATAGATGCAAATGCAATGATTGAAATACACACACCAACCAGATTCCAAGAAATATTTTCTCCTTAACACACACACACACACACACACACACACACACACACACACACACACACACACACACACACACACACACACACACACACACACACACTTGCACACAACCCCCCTCTAAGCTTTTAGTAAACTTCCGCCAGTAGCTCTGGTGTGTAACGTCGCAGCAGCAGATTGAGTGTGTTTGAAAGTGCAGTGTGATGAGAGAGCTGGTAAACAGCAGATGAAACGGCAGCATCTCTGTGTGTGCCGCTGTCTGTCTCACCTGCCAGTGGGGCGATAACTTCATCCACATCACATGTCGCCATATCAAAGACAGACAAATGCCAAGCAGTGTCTCTGAGTTGCAGGTTCACACGCGCTCAGTTAACTCATCTCCCTCGCTTAGGGCATCTGATTTGGCTCGTCTGAAGCTAAATGCCTTTTAAACTCCACTGAAGATTTCAGTGCTGCAGCTCCGACTCGCTGACGCCCGCCTTGAACTTGGCTGACTTTCAAAGCAGTTTGTTTGGGTTCGGTTACCAAACACTGGTGCTGCTGCAAGTTAAAAAAAACATTCAATTTCATAATCCAGATGGATGTGGCTGACTTCATAATGATGACTTCAGTATTTGATTTTTGTACTAAGTTGCTTTCTATCTATGCGCTGCAACAGTCTAGTTAGTGGGTATATGGAGCAGTACATCCACTGTTAGTGCTGTGTCTCCACCAATGTGCTATCTTAGTGGTGTTTATCTCATCCCCTCACCACTTGACCCTGTGACCTCTGCAGAAATAAGGCTGATGAGATTAGGCATTAACATGCTCAACCACCCACCACAGCCATCTATCATTGTGTGGTGTGTGTGTGTGTGTGTGTGTGTGTGTGTGTGTGTGTGTGTGGTGTGTGTGTGTGTGTGTGTGTGTGTGTGTGTGTGTGTGTGTGTGTGTGTGTGTGTATTTCCAGATAGGAGGCAAGGGGTGTGCGCGATAGTGAGAAAAAAGAACAAGAGGGGGTGTGCAACATTTTCAATACACGTACATTACACAATTTGACAAAATCACATACAGTATTCATATGTGCATGTCTGAACACGAGCATGCGCCTGCACACAAGCACGATCACATACTCAAATAAAAACTTGGGACGATCTACATCGAAGGTTACATCAATGAAATTGTGTGCATCATAACAGCCATTTCTAACCCGTGTTAAACTGTAGATTATGCCTGTAAATGTTGCTGTCTACAAACTGATGGATTTCGCTGTGTCTTTCTATCTTCTGCAACTAAATGTGAAGCATTACTTGTGTACAGTAGTTTCAGAGAAACATCTGTGGTGTTTTAGAGTTGATCTAATAATACTACTCAGAGCTGTAGATTCTGACTGGCCTGACAGATGGACTTGACATGAGACTTAAAATAGTTCTAACACAATAATAATATGCCGCAATTGGTTGTGTTGAGGGTTACTGCAAAGGTTTTGTATCTGTAGTTAATAAGTGCATTTACTTAATTATTGTAATTCAATTAATGATGGTCACATGCCCGCCTATTGCTGTGCAATTGGCCCTTTCAGAAAGCCACATTGATTCACCTACATACATTTATCACTGTTTCTTATTATTCTTCAAACTATCTGATCATTTGCAGTGAGGAGACTTAGCTTACTCAACATGCTAAGGCCCTAAAGACTCCAGTGAAGACTTACGACTTGACCAGGACTGATTTTGATTTAGTTGAGACTTCGCTTGAACATTCCCAAAAGAAAAAGAGCTCTGCTATGACCACAATGATTTGGGGAGGGGAGAAGATGGGACAAATGATATGCACCAAAACAACAACTAAATCTAAAATGATCCTCTATGCTAAAAATAAAGATTGCCAAGCAATATGACAAACCAAAGGAGCAGGACAGTTCTGTGTATTTCTGTATATGTGGAAATGAACATCTAAATGGTGAGAAAATACTCAAAAACACCAACAAATAAGCTGACTGCAGATAAGCAGCAATGAGCCTGCACTTAGCCTGGGATCTACTACTACGGCTCTGGAGCTGCTCTGGGATCAGATCCAAGTCTTCCAATCTCAATATTGACTCATGGAAACCATGGACTTGCAATAGAAATGCCCTTGTATAGCGTTACGCAATAACCAGTTGCTGAAACTCCTTAGCGTATTCAAAAGCAAAAAGGCTATGTGGGGAGATGTGATGTTGTTGAATTAACAGTATTGTTACTTTGCTGTGTTCTGTTCTGTGTCTTCATCAACCAAGTTGTACTCAGCCATACAATCTTTCTCTGACCCTTTGCATGTGACCCCTCACCCCCCACATCTGTAGTTATGACATCTCCCTCTGACCTGGATGTAAATAAACCCAGTACTGTAGAGCAGTCTGTTTTTGGCCCATCCCTGTACATACAAAGTGTAAATACAAACAGCTATGCATGCTGAAAACCTAGCAATTCTTTCAGGTACTTTTATAATCCCCAAATTCTCATATGGCATGTGCTAAAAAAAAAGAATAATTTAAAAAAGGTTTAAAAAAGAAAAGATACAAAAAAAAGGTTTAAAATATGGAGTTGATATTATTGTCAGGCAATATCCTCTCTTGGACAGTGTGTGTAGAGTCTTCCTGTTTTCTTACTCCTGTGGGTGGTTCTCTTCCTTTGCCTGTCCTTCTGTGTTTCTGCTCACCATCTGTGTCAGTGGTTGTCAGTTGGCATTTGTACAGCAGCGAGGGTTGAGGCAGAGCAGAGCAGAGAGCTGACCTCTGTGATGGCACTCCAATTCAGCAGCTATATGTTGGCAAAGCTCTTAATGCCTGGGACACCATTTGAGAGGTTCAGCTTCTGGCATGAACTACAGATCATCTCAGCATATGTCCATGCTTGTCATGTGAAGGCCCTCTGGATGTGCAGCAGGTCAAAACACTGTTTTGGTTGGAGGAAAAATAATTTGCTTACAATTGTTGGTACTTGAATGATGGAAGCTGTCAATCAAAGACAAGCAGCCTCCTGGTATTTGAAGTCACTTCATCGATACTATTTCACCCTATTTA